CGCTGAAAACAACAAAATGGAACCTCAAGGTTGATCTAGGAAAATGTGTGCAAATGTATAGGGCCCCATTACTATATTTTGCCTGGGGCCCCCAATTCACTAAATCCGCCCCTGCTGTTGGAAATGGCAAATGTAAATTATATAATTTAATTTTCATTTTACTTTTGCACCAAACTTTGCACGTATGGGTAATGGAAAATGTAAATTTAAATACAGAAATACAATGCCATTTTGAATATTGCGTTGCCATTTTGAATATTGCATTGCCATTTTGCATATTGCATTTTAAATTGAATTTCGCTACCTTATATGCTTCCATACAAAGGTGGGTGCCATAGAATTTAGGTGTCGCTGTTGGTTCCTCCGTGCCTGTAGGTGGTGGTGTGGCTTGTTTTTGATGTTTTGTTGCTCGGGAAGAAGAAACACGAACTCGGCGCGCGCTTGGAGTTTGTTTACATTCCGTGAGGCTCGAGCTGACTTCATGAGCAATAAAATCGTATAAACGTATATGATTTCAAAATGTAAATGAGTAATGCCGTGTATATTCCATATAAGCAAGCTAAATGACTAATCTCAGCAAGTCTATCTCCTATAAACAGTCACTCTCATAAACCTAAACGTCATTATTTCGGATCTGGTTCGTGTCATGTAGAGTTTCCGGGTTTGAGTCCGGATCTGGACGTTCAAATCTCTGGTTTCAGTGATGGCAGGTCCAGCGGATCACAGTGACAGCGGGTCCGGTTCTGCTCTTCAGGCGGTGTTTGAGCAGCTGCGGTCCGCGCACACTCTCTCCCTGACCCTCACCAGCCCGCTGTGCCTGGCTGTCATCGCTCTGGACCGGTACTTGAGCGTACAGCACCCAGCCGCTGAGAGCTACAGCTACGACCTGACGGTCACGGACGGCCGATGGCGGATAAAGTGTCAGCTGGCGGACAGTCTGAGCCAGTGGGTCCGGACGGGCTCGCTGCGCTGCGGTACCGGGGTCCTGGTGTCCCAGCTGTCAATAGTCCACGATGAGACGAAGCTGAGTCACAGTTACGTTAGGATAGACAGCATCCACAGCGTCGCGGAGCTCCCGGAGAGGTTTCTGTCCATTAAAGACGTGGGGAGTATCCCGGAGTGGTGTCAGGACCATGTGACCCGGTCCGATGGACCTCTGCAGCTGAGCAGAAAGTATTATTTACCACTGTGGATAAATGACGATCCTTATGGAAGCGTGTGGATTTCTTATAGCCCACCGCCAGACGTGGTCATTGATGGTATGAGATCATGTTCTTTTCAGAAGTTTAAAAACTCTGTTTAATTCCACAGTGCAGGCCCCAAAACCGAATTAATTTTAATTCTTTATCCATCTTTGCCACTATCCTTCAAACCACTAGGCTTTGCCCATTTGTCAGCAAGAATTTTTTA